CAAAAGCTGCCAGTGACAAAGGATACACTGTACAATTGATCTGTTTGCACAAAGCTGAAGATTTAACGGCACTAATGTATAGTAATAAAAATTAGGACCCCGCTGGTGTAGGCTGGGAAATCTCTAAGGATGACAAAAATACTCTTTATCCTAGTCTAAATGATGACTGCACACGCGCAGACATTGTTAGAGCTTAAAGCAGCACCCACCTGGTATTTGCTCATTTTACTCTAAACTAAACTTTAGTAAATGCCCACTAACATAAAAATGACAGGACATTCTTTTCATTTTTTCCATAAAACATGAAGTGGCTTAGCAGTTATTCATCAGATATTTAAAATCACTTTTATTTTGTGAGTATTTGCATAAGGCAAATTGTGTGTGTGTGTGTGTGTGTGTGTGTGTGTGTGTGTGTGTGTGTGTGTGTGTGTGTGAAATTTTACTTGGGGTTGGAGAAAACTATGATGAAGTTGACTGGCGAACCTAAGTAACAGATAAAAGTTTTGGAAACCAAAAGTAAAATTGGCTCAACTCAGCTATAAAAATAAAACTCAAATTTTGTAATAAAGGTCTCAATTCATCATGATTTGTGCTTTGCAAAAGGAAATTGCTTAAGATTGCAAAGACTAACATTGCATCACCAAGAAGAGGAAATTCCACTGATTTCTTCAAGATTAGATTTTTTAGAAATATTTAAATAAATTGCTATCCATGATGCTTTGGGGTCTAAGAGTCATTCAAATTGTCTAAAATACGAGTCAATGCAATTTTGTTTTCCCTTTAACTGTTTTGTGATGTCCTTGAAGTCAGAAAACAAAGGGGCAAAATGGGCTCCCCTGCCATGACAGCATCATGTCTGCCTAATGTCATGTATGGAAAAGAGGGAGAAATGCCACTGTTTGCTGCTTCATCTTTTGATTCGCCCTTGATGTACAGGAGGTCTGGGAGAAGCCACTTTCCATTACGTGTTGAAGAATGGGAGGATGGATGGACTAAAACCGACTCTGAAACCCTCATGCTGGCAGCCTAGGAAGGAGATGGTGCTGCATCACTCAAGATGGAAATTTTTCATTAAGAGATTGTTTCTTGTTGTTAAACATTTGGAATGTGGAAAGAATAGGTAGATGGGAAATAGAAATATGCTATGCTTCCTGGAGAGTGAAGCAGCACCATGGTCAACAACATGATGAAGAACCTCTGTGAACAGATGAATTCTAACAGGAAAGAACCCCTGTGAAGAGAGAGGAAAAGAGGCCCAAGCATGAGAGCCTTGGGAAGTGCTGTGCCTGAGGGCATAAAAACTAAGACAATTGTGCTAACAGTTCAAGGAGGAGAATGTAAAGGAAAGAATTGGTTCAAAGAAAGAATTGATTCAAAGCAGCAGTTTCCATATGTAATGGGTGGGTTGGGGAAAGACCTGCAATTGTAAACTGCAGCACCATCACAAAAAGTGCTGTTTGCCCATGCTGATTTTCTCCAGTTGTGCCTGGTTAATTCAGCCTCTGTAGTCAGCAAGCATTTACAGAAAGGGGAGCAGAAGCCAATGCAACCTGATATGCATATTGGGAAAGACCAGTGAAGTCATTTGGTCACGTACATACAATACATCAGAATTTATCAACTGGTTCCTCCCTGGAAAGTTTTGAATGTTTCTTAATGTCAATACTCATAAATCAGTTGTCATCACACATACAAAACCAGAATTGTTTTTTTGTTTATTTCAATTTAAAGGTCAGCATCCTGGTCTGGGACTGTAGCTTAGCTGTTAAGAGTGCTTGCTAGCATGCATGAAACCTGGGTTCCTCACCCACCATGCTTAAAACTAAGAGTGGTGGTGTCAGTTATAATCCCAGTACTTGGGAGGTGGAAGTAGGAGGATCAGAAGTTCACATTCATCTTCAGCTGCATATGGAGCTCCAGGACAGTCTGGGTTACACAGACCCTTCCTCAAAAAACAAACAAAATTAAACCAAAATACGAATGTACAAAACCCACACCCCTTTGTTGAAAATTTTTCCATGTTGATTTGATGACGTGAACTCAGTGGAATGGAACTGATTTTTTTTCCACATCCCATACTGTGTGAATACAGAATATCTACTTATTTTATGATAGTAGATTTACAACAGTAAAATACACTCACAAATTGGAAGCTGTTCAGAGTCATAATCTCAAAAAAATAGGGGGTGGGGTGGGGGAATGTTAAGTGTTAAGGCAACAAATAAACTAATTGGAGGGAAATAACGTCTTTCCCAAATTCCAGACACAAACAGCTTGACATTTTGGAAAGGGGTCATAATGTGGGTTATAATGATTTTGTGGCTTCCTCATTTCCTGTTTTATCATGAGCCTTTTCAGCTGCTTCCTTTCTCCAATAAAGAATAAAACTGAGTGTGAACAAACTACATTTACTTTTGAAAACATGTGACTATGTCAATGTTTTCCCCCCACAGACAGAATGTACTCTGGCTTCCCTCTTGTTTTCTTGCTCCCATTATATGGGGGGAGGGGGACTTTTTGAAAAGGGTAACAAAACACTGATCCCAGGAACACTGCATGCACTCTGTAATTTTCCAAGTCGATTTTTTTTGTTATGTTGTTATTGTTGTTGTTTGGGAGCGTTTATTTCTTGGGTTTTGTCATTGTTGCTTTTGTTTTTTGAGACTGGGCTTCTCTGTGTAGCCCTAGCTGTCCTGGAACTCACATTTTTGTATATTGTGTTATTGATGTCTTTGCTCATTGACATATTGAAGCTCTAATCATAACTTTCCGACAAACTGTCTAAATAAGCACCCAGGGTGAGCTCCCTCTGGAAAGCGGGATTTAGGTCGCCTTGGGTCCCTGCGGGGCATCTGCAGCCTAGCTGCTTTAGCAGGGTGAAAAACAGCTATGTCATGAAGAATGCTGTGGGTGTGGATGGGGTACTCTTCAGCGCCTTTTCCTGTCTCGGGATCAGGGTGAGAGGCTGGGAGCTGATGGGAGGCGTGGATAATCAAGATGCAGGGGTTGGCACCCTTGGCTTAGCCATGGCCATTGAAATGAGCACACAGTGCTAATCAGAGTAATGGCTGCTTGCTCTCTCTGTACTCTCCAACCCCCCTCCACCCTTGCATTATACTAAAACAAAACTTTCATCTAAAAAAATTCCAAATTAAGGGTTGGATTGATGACTCAGTGGTTAAGAACACTAGCTGGTCTTCCAGAGGTCCTGAGTTCAATTTCCAGCAACCACATGATGGCTCACAACCATCTGTAGTGAGATCTGGTGCCCTCTTTTGGCCTGCAGAGATACATGCAGACAGAACACTATACATAATAAATAAATCCTTTAAAAATTCTAAATTATTTTAAGTCAGTTACTTTTACATAAGGTAAATGGTTGGTAGGGCCACATTTGCTGGACAGGTAAAATACTTGCTAACCTGATGATAATACTGAATGGATGTCATCCATGAGTGAAACATCTGTATTTCGAACCTACTCATGAATTGAAAAATGTTTCCCTTTCACTTACAAGGTATCTGACAAAATATAGTGTACAGACCAAAATCAATAAAATTACCAGAAAAAAAAACTATGCAGAAACTATGCAGCCTTTAGACACAGTAGCAGAAAAATAGGAAACAACCAAAATATCCAGTATCATTATGATATGGGTTTTGGTATGGTATGGTATAGTATGGTATGGTATGGTATGGTATGGCTGGTATGTTTAAGATGGGCAGTGTTAATAATGTAAAAGAAAACTACGTGTGCATCATGAAGAGCAAAGAAAGCCTCTGTGCAACAAAAGGCTAGCTTTATTCACACAAAATTCAAGACTGGGCAAAATTAAACTGCAGTTTTAGAGTGCTGACTAGAAGCCACCACTGTAAAGAAATGTGAATGTGGCAGTGACCCAGAAGCTTCTAGAACATTGCTAACATTAACTTTCCTGGTGTGTGGTCTCTACAAGACAGTGCCTACAAAAAATTCTCTAGCTTATTTGGTTTTGCTTGTACTTTTTTTTTGCACTTTATTAAAAGGTTTATTGTGTGGTAAGATTCTTTCTCTCTCACTGAACATGCCCTGAGGAGCACTCAAGAAGCAGCTCCTTAGGAATGCTCAAACAGAGGCAACAGAAAGATCAGGGAAGGAGACTGGGCCCATCACACAACAGCGGGTTCATCATGCTTGTCTGTCATCTGCCAATCTGTTTCCATACAACCTGCAACCTGAAGTGGGCATTGCAGGTCTGGCCCCACACCTGCTAGGCATGCACTTTACAAACAGAGCTACACCTCCAGCCCCGAAAAGTTATTTTAAAAACAGTTTTGCATTTTTAAAATCAAGTTAAATAAACACTTACCCCATGAACAGCAACCTTATCCCTGCATATTTACTCTTGAGTAGTGAACATTAATATTCATACAAAATACACAAGTATTTATAGCAACTCTTTTTATACATGCCCCAAACTAAAACAACCTAAATATTTTTCAAGTGGTAAAAAGATAAATAAATGATATACACTCAAATAATGACTTGTTCCTCAGCAAAAGGGATAGGTTGTTAATACACGTAATAACTTCAGTAATTCTCAGAGGCAGTGTTCTGAGTGAAAAATTACCTTGAAAGATTAGATACTCTGCCATTGAAGCTGCATCCCTAGATACCCTCTGACAATCCCCCAAAGACATCATAGTGCCAGAGAACAGATAGTGCTTAAAAGCAGGTGAAAACATGCATTATAAAAAAATATACCCTGAAGGAGTATGGTGAGGAGTGATAGAATTATTCTGTATCTGTGTGAATAATCTGTGAATCATCCTAAACTGCGGCTACAAGAATCTATACATTCATTAACAATTTGTTTACCAAACGGTACACTAAGAGGTCAATTTACTAAAAGTCAAGTCAGCATAAAGAAATCATCTTTATGTTTACTTTTTAAATGGGACACAAGTATTCAAAGGAAACTTAAGCGTTAAGACCATATCAAATGAAAGCAATGTACTCACCACTGCTTGCCCCCCGGCAGTGTCCAGTACTAGAATCCATAGGAAAGTCTGAAAGATGATGGAATAAATAAAGAACGGTAACAGTTATTACTTCAGGATTTCACCTATGAAATGTAATTCTGTGACAGCCTGACTTGGATAAGGACCAGGCGTCTCTAAGACATGGTCCTTCATTAGTGCTCTGAGGTATCTACACTATTGGGGGTTGAATAAGGCTGAGGCCCTTTCTTGGATGTGACTGAAAGTTGTTACTCATGAATCCTCATCACCTATGCATAAAATTGTAGTATTTAATAAATGCTGTGTTCTTGAATTTCATAAACTCTATAAATGAATATTCTGTCTCAGTAAGGCCCACATAAATATTAGGCACTGGCCCATATGTGTGACTTTGTGACAGATAGAACCAAATACACCTTGTCAATGAATGGCTGTGTCACACTCTACTGGCACAGTGTCTATGGGAAATCCAGAAAGAACTCCAGGCCTTTTGTTAAATGCAGACTAAACAGTTCAGTAGAAAGGAAGCCTAGCACTTGTAGATCGCTCAAGCCAGTACAATTAATAGATGTGGCAATAATTAGGATTCACCATTGGTTCTTTTCATGATGCTGCAATTCCTGAAAATGGTAATCATAATGGCCTTCTGTGTTCTAATTAGAAGAGCAACCTCTAATGAATTGTGCTGTGTGTCCCTGCAGAGTGCCATGCTGAGTGACACAGTAACTAACAGTGGATTCTTGCTGAACTCAACCCACACTTTCATACAAGAGTTGTATACTTGTATTAACACTTAATGTTAAACAATGCCTCTACTTAGCCTGATAAAACAAAGCATTCTTCCCCTGTCCTTATTCTTCATAGGTTGTAAAAAACATAAATGAGGAAGGGTTTAAGATGCTGAGTATTAAACCCAGGGCTTCATGCCTGCTAAATATGGGCTCTACCACCCAGCTACATACATGGCCAAAAGCTGTATCAGAGAAAAAGCAAAGGTTTCCAAATAGTTGAATAAACAACAAATACTCGTTCTACAAACACTTGACATAAGCCATTAACTTGATGACTTTTATCCTATTCAAACTTTATTTGTGATAAATGTATCCAAGTTTTAAAGTAATATGCCAGTACTACTATTCCATGCATTTGGTTTATATAAAGCAACTTCCCTGTAGATAAATGAATTTTATTGATCCACTTGTAAAACATTTAGCATTTAAAGTTTTTATGAGATGAAAAAAATAAAGCTCCTTGGAGTGGGGAACCCCTAAGAAACAGTTGAGACAAGGTGAATGCTCTCCTTGTGTCATGTTCTTATTGCCAGAGATGTTTCTGCACTTTAAAAAAAAAGTTAGAACTGTTACAAAAAACCAGAGCTTCCTGATCATTTTTCTTCTGATAGTCAAAATTTGAAATTCTACCATCAAAATTATCCTGAATTGAAATGTTAGCTGCTGTGGGATTGATAGATTTTGTACTTCAAGGGTTTCTAGTGAAGCCACAGAGATTTCTGGAAGAGCCTATATGAGAACAGTGTTGCAAAGGGACTCGGGTGACAAATCCAGCACTCTTTATGGGACCTGAAAGTCCTCTGGCATGGCTAGAGTAGGGATTGGAGCAAACAAAGAGTGAATCTAAACAGAGGAGGTGATCTAAAGGATGTAAACAATAGATACACATTTCTGAAAAATCATCTTGCCAGGAGATGAAAGAGGATATTGCAGATAAAAGAGTCAGTCCTGGGTGTGTAGGTATGGTGATCCCAAAGAGAGTGATAGGGAGAGAAGAAAGAAATCTGATTCTGATTAGAGTGGTAGAACTTGATACCTCCTGAACACCAGTGATGAAGAAAGACAGAATCAAGGCAGAGTCCTAAGCCTGAATAATTACAGCATAAAGCATGCTGGAGAAGAGTAAGTGGGGAGGCCAGGGAAGCATGAGCTCTGGGGACTCTGAGCCTGGATTTGATGACATCCTATCCTATCTCAATAGTGCAACCAAACAGTCATTCCTTATCTCTTGGAACCCATTGTCCTGAGGGCCCTTTTATTTTTTTAAGCCATAAATCAACACAATGGAAATACTTTGTTCCTTTAACGTTAACCTAATGAACAAAAGACACAGATTCCCTGAAAGATCGAAATCCATTTTCTTAGCAAGAGAAGATGGAAGTGCTGAAGAGACTCTGTCTGAACCCTTGTTTTCTTACACACTGAATTAAATTGATGAGTCACTACTCTGTGAACCTTGGCAGTCTTTCCTATAAAATGGGTGTAACAGCTGACCACATATCTGTTATGAGACCTCATATGCACAGCTCAGATGACAATGCCTTTTATTCGGTCACCACTAAGGATACTTGTCCTGAGACAGAAGGCTCTCTCCCTGGTGTAGTTGTTAAGCATGCATTCTGTGCTTTCTCCATTACCAATCATTCATTTCGTTTGTTATACATCAATGCCAACCAATGCCAGTCAAGTGACTTTCTGAAAATGAACAACAAAACCAACTAAGGGTTTGTGTCGCTGAAACTGTGATTGTCTAAAAATTTACAGACTGAGGCTTAGTTATTCAAAATTGTATGTCTATGCAGCGCCTCTTACTAGGCTTCACACCTAGCAGAAAGACAAAGGCCAAAGACAAAATGGTCAATTTTTTCTCTTCCAACAATTATTTCAAAAAGTGAATGTTTAAAATAAGTTAGGGACAGTCTAAGATTTCACTAGCTCTGACAGTTGGGTTATTGCTAAATAAAACTAATAGCACAGACTCTCTTCCCAAGCCAGGAAGAATGCCTTTTGGCATTGACATGATGAAGGCTCCCTAGAATCGTGCTTTTCTCTCTAGTGCTAACTTAAAACTTTACGTCTTTTCATCCTACGTTCTTGCTCACATCCTCCCTTCTTGGTATTTGGTCCCTCAAATATTTGTAGACCAGAGCTAGCACGAAAGAAACGGCTGCCTGTTCCTCGGAGAGTGGAGAGATGATTAAATGTCATTTCTGCATGTGAAAGGTGGCAGGACTCTGCCAGGCCACAGCCTGAAGAATATATTGTGCAAGAGCTCGGGGAGCATGTTAGCACTAACTGGAAGCCAGCAATAACTGGGTGTTTTTACAGGGGATTATAACACTCTTGGCATGGCAGGCTCTAAGTGTTTTAGAAAGAGCTGCACAATACCCTACCATGTATATATTTGTTAAAAAGTTCATTCTTTTTCTCTCTTTGATAAGCTTGTGACTTTAATTAGGATTAGTTATAGAAGCATGGGTGAGGAGTTACTTATATCAGGGAAGAGCCACTTACCAGTGGCCACACTACTGAAGAAAATGTCTCTCCCTTCCCTGCAGCCACAACCGCCTATGTAGATACTCAGGGAGGGGTAGAGTCTCCAGATCCACCTCCACCCCTCCCCCCTCCCAATGCTCCCAGCAACTGTTAACTGCTTATAGGTCCTCAGGGAGGGGCAGAGGCTTGAGAGTCCCTTCCCCATTAAACTATTTCTAGTTAGCAGACATCAGTCAAACTACTCGCCCCCCCCCTTATTCCCATAGGAATTTACTCCTTAGCCTAAATTCTAGCTTTGTTTGTATGAAATTAGACATTAATTTTCTATATTCAGGAGCAATAAAACCTGTTTCTCCTATCAGACCCCTGGGTAAATCCTGCTCTCCAGAGCAGAAGTGCTAAGAGACTGGGTCTGCATTTGTCGAGTTAAAAAAAAAAAAAAAAAAACCAATGAAAAGGAAAAGTGAGTCCACTCGATACACAGCAGTAAAAACAGGAAAACTGCAGTAGCAATTGGTTCAGTGATCTCTTGGCAATGGGTTCAAGACTCAACAGTTCACATACTGTCTAGTCCTCACCTTGCACTTAAGATACAGACACGTTTGCCTTTACTTACATGAAAGGGTTGTAGAAGTCATATCATTTCTCTATAGCCAGAGTGGCATGGGCCTGCATACCTGGTTTCTAAGCCTCACTCACTGTGCAGTCTTTTTTTGTTTTTGTTGTTTTGTTTTGTTTTGTTTTGTTTTTGTTTTTCAAGACAGGTTCTCTCTGTAGCTTTGCAGCCTGTCCTGGAACTCACTCTGTAGACCAAACGGCCTCCAACTCACAGAAATTTCCCTGTCTCTGCCTCCTGAGTGCTGAGATTAGAGGCGTGTGCCACCACCACCTGGCTTTACCATGCAATCTTAAAACTTTGCCTAAATGCCTCAAATAACCAGTAGATGTCTACGACCATACTACCCTGAACACGCCCAATCTCATCTGATCAAATGACCAGCAGAATGGCCAAGGTGATCTGAGTTCTCAAATAGCAGTACTCAAAGTCCTACTTTACAGCAAGCATGAAATATACAATAAACTTAACATGAAATTACTAGCTATGGTCAACATACCACATGTTCTTTATAAAAATGTGCTGATGCTTAGTGTTTGAGTAATAAAAGGTAGTTTGAAGCATCGGTCTGCTCCATTCAGACTTTGTTCTATTAAATGACCTAAGCTTGATGCTGAGTCACAATATGTTAAGTATAAACAGAGAACCATGAATGGTATGAATGGACTAAAATTTTCCTGATACAGGAATGTGAAGATTTATACCATTCTTTAAAGAAATCTCATTTTCATATCTGGTTAGACAGGATCTAGTCCTAAGTCACAGAGATTCTGCTTATACACAAAGGAAGGACAAAAAAACATTGTTTTGTAAACTATTGTATCCCAATAAACCAAAGAATAAATTAACTAAAATGGTGACATGTGGTAGGCTTTATTTTTTAATTTTATGTATATGGGTATTTTGCTTACATGTATGTCTGTGCACCACATGTATGTAGTACCCATGGAGTAGGGATTCAGCACCTTGTTCTATGCTCTAAGCTATGTATATATGTATGTATGCATGTATGTATGTATGCATGCATGCATGTGCACCATATGTGTGCAGTACTCAAGGAGGCCAGAAGAGGGCATTGAATCTCTCAGAACTAGAGTTACAGACAGTTAAACTGTACCCATGGGGGTACTAGGAATCAAACCCAGGTTCTCTGGAAGAACAGTTGGTGCTTTTAATCACAGAACCATCTCTCCAGCTCCATGTTGCAGGATTAAATAATTCCAGGTTTCTGATAGTTTCACCCAACAGAGACTGGGTAATTTTCAGTAGACTGGCAGCCAGGGGCCTCTTCAGGTCAGCATGCACCTTCAACCCTGTCCTCAGCTCCTGGTCACTGTTTCATATGGAATTGAGGGTTGGGAGCATCCTAACTATGCCCTGCCCTCAGGTGCTTTTCTTCCAAGGATGCTGTCAGTAGAACAAATGCAATCCTACCTCCTGGTCTGACAAATCGCTCCTATGCATGTCCTATTTGAGTGCTTCAGTGAGGCAATTGTGCCATGTGTGGTCTACGGTGATAGGTAACTCAGGGTGACTGCTTCCCATCTCCATTGACTATGGCCTTTGAGCACACTTAGACTTGCCAAACCTCACTCATTCCTGGTCCTTCTCTAGGCTTAGGAGAAAAGTTTGTCTTCTCAGGGGAACATGCATTTCAGAGGGAAATACATCATTCCTAGTGCTTGGCCTGAGAGGAGTGCTAGTATTTAACTGACTTTAATAGTGTTTGTCAAGCAAGGATAGCAACTGCATCGAGCTCTAGCAGTGTCTGAGGAGCCTGTGACTTCAGTCAGGGTAGGAGTGCTCTTTTAGCCAAACAGTAAAAAGAATGTTTCCTTTGGATTACCTTATAAAAGTAGCTCTCGATTGTTAATTGACCTTCAGAAGACAGCTCCTATAGTCATGGTGCTAAGCTAAGTAAAGTGATCACCAGAAAGCTGTGAGATCTTCCTGTTCTGTCTTCGTTTTTCCTTTGTGCTTTTTTCCCCTTTCACCCACTCTAAGTTAATGAACTTAATTTTTCTGAATCAGTCCCGTAATGACTGATTCATTAACTACAAACTGAGGACATGAGCCTAGTTTGAGCAAGTTGAGGAACAGAAGGAAATGGCGATTAAATGAATAGAGATGATACAACCAAGTGAAACACAGCTAAGAACAACAACAATCCTGAGAGATTCTGAGAGAGGACCACTAGTTTGCTTAATCTTTACCGTTAAAGTACATGAAGGGGAAAATCTGAGATTTGGGCTAATCAGTAGGAAACTATTGAGTTTACTGCATTGAGTTGGGGGCGGGGCTTAAAATTATGAATGCCACAATTAGACCAAACATCATTGACACAAAAAATGGTGGTAAAACCCATGAAATGTAGAATTATAATTCAGTTTTATAGTGGGGAGAGTGCTAACGTGTGGATAGTCTATACACATAGAGTATGGATGGGATAAAGGGTGAGATTAAAAATGAAATTATATAAGGCTATGAAGATAACATGCTTAAAATATAACTCCATTTGCCCTTATGCCTTTTACAAAATGACTTGAAGGCACGTGGGCATCTGAAAAGGGCCTGTAATTTACTTCAGTTCCTCAGCTATCCGACTGAAGTGAGCCACAGAAGCTAATTAGCAGCACATAGCAGTAATATTACATTGCTGTTTCTGACTGGAATTATCATCTATTTCATTGAAAGGAGGGGGAAATTTAAGGTGATATAGTACTGATGACATTGGATTTTGAGCAAACACATGTCCCTAACAGATCACTGTGTTAGAAGTTTATTGACATTATTTTAGTATTTTTTAATGATTAGGAGAAAACCAGGGTTTCCACTTTTCTGAGGTCTCCATACAGTTGTGATCGGTGAAAACACTAAAGATAAAGCAACTCGATGATTGAGATTGCAAAAGAATCAACCAAGAAACAAAGGAGAAAGTTAAGTGTGGGAACTCACTATTCCTGCATGGGAAGAGTGAGCAGGGAAGGAGGGCCATGGAGGTTTGGGGTAAAGAGTGGGGGACGAATGGATGAATCAGACCACCTGTTGGAAGAGACTGGAAGGGTAAAAGAACAGGACTCGATGGTTAAGGAGAGATTAAGTGATCTGAAGAGCAAAGAGCGAATGAGAAGATTAAGGCAAATAAGTAACTAACTCTTCCTAGGAGGTCGGGCACAGTTCAGGACTCACCCGCTCCGTCAGCGGTGACGATGGCCTCCGGAGAGATGCACACACCACGGTCGTACACCGGCAGCTCCTCGCAGGCTAGGCTCTCCGGCCACGAGTGGCGGTACTTGATGAGAATGGGCTCGCAGCCCTGCCGGGCGCGCTCGCACACAGACTTGCAGGGCTTGATGGGTTCGTGCTGGAAGTCGATGGTGCAGATGGGTGCATACATGGCGCAGAGGAAGAAGAGCAGATCCGGGCTGCAGTGGGTGCCCAGCAGACCTTCGAATTGCTCGATGGCCAGGATGGCGTTAGCCTGGGTGCTGTGGTGCAGGTGGTTGGGCATCTTGGTCATGTTCCAGGGCAGGGACTTGCACAGGGGGATGCGGACGGGCTCACAGGCTGCTGCCTGGGCTCTGGGGACGTGGAGCAGGCAGAGTGCAGCCAGGACTAGCATCCCGCTGGCCCGTAGCAGCAGCATCCGTCCCCGGTTTCCACAGACCATGACGCCGGCAGGATGGGACAGGGCTCAGCCGGGCGGAGAACGCGACAGGCGCGTTCCGCGGTCTGCTGCACTCCGGGGGCGAGCACTACGACCCAGGAGCTGTCCCCTCGGACAATCACAGCTCACTTGGATCCAAATCCTCTGGTCCTGTTCACGCGCTTGGAGGAGCCGGGGGGCCTCGCCGCGCTGGCTGCTCTTCCCAGGCGTCTAAGCCTCTGGGCGAGGCAGCATCTATTTATTCCTCTCGCTCTGGCAGAGGCATCAGCCTTCGCACATCAATCAGATGAGAGGGGCAGAAAAGGAAGCAAGAGAGAAATGAAAACAAAAGTCGAATTCAGCTTGGGGACTCGGAGCTCTGGGGTGTTAACAAAAAGGTGTTGCAAGAAGCGATGAATTCTGCAGAGTGAGAAGGATGGGGGAGTGGGATGGAACTAATGCGAGCGGAGGCAGGAGTTTGCCAAGTCCTGCGGGGTCGGGAAGATCCTGCGAGCCGCGGGAGGAGCTCAGGGGAGGTCAGAGCCTAGGCTTGCAGCTGCGCCTTCCCACCTCGGCTAACAAGAGCTCCACCCCGTGGTCCCCTGCCCTCCGGCTCCTCCTTCCGGGAAGGCAGTGAGTTTTCAGGGGACTGGGTGGGACATTGCCTAACAGTGAGGATGCGGTAACCCTAGGTAGCTCCCAATGCTCTCGTGCACCTTTACCCCTCTCTCTACTCCGGGCTCTGGCTCCAGAGACGAACCCCTGGTCCCCACGGGAGAAGCGGTCTCAACGCACCCGCGGAGGAGTCCCCTCGACCCCGCCCCAGGAGTCCACTCTGTCCCTCTCTCCCCGCAGCTATTCCCTCACTGAAAACCAGAGAGGATCTCCGCCTGCGGAAAGTCAGAATGGAGTCTGGAAGGCGCGAGCAAAAACCCTTTAAATGTCCACGTCGCCCGCCCCCACCCCCAGCCGTGGCGGGCCCCATCCAGCGAGAACTAGTGGCCCCAGGGGTCTGTGACTGGAGTAACTGTGGAGAAATGTGAACAAATACAAATACAAATAGACCCACAGGAACGAGAAATTCCCTTCCTTCCTTCCTTCCTTCCTTCCTTCCTTCCTTCCTTCCTCCCTCCCTCCCTTCCTCCCTTCCTTGCGAGTTTTTCTTTGCCCTGTAGAATCGGAACTTTTTAAGTTTTTCCTTCTTAAAGCATAAGAGTGGAGACTAAAGCACTTGGATCCGCCCCCGCCCCGAAGTCTCTCATTGAAAATTACTTTTATTATCTAACTCTTCCCACAGGAAGTTTCATCTAACGGGAAATAAAACGATGCAGACAGACTACCCCATACAGGTAATGATAATAGTAAACAGGAAAACGGTTCTCATCCAGATGAGTTCAACCCGGAGGAGAAAATATAAAACAGATCCCTCACAGGCTACGCCTTCCAAAAGTCTTCCGTTTCCACCCCGGCTGCCCCTTTGACTTTCACAGCATTGTACGCGGGAAGTCCTGCGGCGGCCCAACCACTGTGCCCCTTCAGAGGAAGACCGTCGAGCAGAGGGGTTGCAGTGTCAGAAGACAGCGGGTGCGCAGAGGCAAAACCTGCAACAAAGCCTGACGTCACTAGAATAGTCCTGAATTATCCAGCCTTTCTCCTCTGTCAGTATTAGGCAACGAAAGTCAGTCTCCACTTCCAAGAGCACAGAGTGGGGTACGGATTTAATCCCCTGCACCGGCTCAATGGCACTTAGGGAATGTCAGAGGCTGACTTGAGTTTATGGAATTTTTATCTCTAAAATGATCATTAACAGCGGTCTGTGACTTCAATGTTTTTAGAAGGAAGTGTGTCCACTTCATAGGAAATCAACAACAGATGGCGACCAGGGTACCATTTAATTAATAAATAAACTATTCCTGATTTACAATTATTTTTGTGTCATATTAAGAAAAAACAAAGCCAAAAGTTATATAAACGAACTCAATAAAAAATGACAAGACACAAACAAAAAAAATTGAGCTGGGAAAGGTTTATAAACTGTCAACATTAGAATATTTGGGGGCTTTACTGGGCAAAGAAATATAGGAGGGATTTGTGATAAATTTTAAGGTGAACAATGAATATGATAGTTTGTTAAACATGTTTTCTGTTCATCTCAAATCTTTTAGACAAAGAAATGAGCCAGTGTTTGAATGGTCCTAGCACTATCACCATGACCAAAGAGAAGAAAAGTCTAATATACAGTTTATATTTATCAATTTTCTCAATTAAAACCAAAAGGAGAGAGAAAAAGAAAGAAATGTGCTTATATGCCTATAAGCAGAGCTGATATGAAAACAGTCAGTTGAGTCCAGATGTCTGCTTTCTGTCACTGTGACAAATGCCTGAGATAACTTAAAAACTGGAGGCATGCCTGGTAATGGTGGCGCACACCTTTAATCTCAGCACTCGGGAGACAGAGGCAGGTGAAAGGATCTCTGTGAGTTCGAGGCCAGCCTGGTCTTCAAAGCAAGTTCCGGGACAGGCTCCAAAGCTACACAGAGAAACTCTATCTTGAAAAAAAAAAAAAAAAGAAAAGAAAGAAAGAAAGAGGGAGTTATTTTGGCTCATAGTTTCAGAGTTTTCAATGCATGATCTGTGCAGCAGAACCTATCATAATAGGCATACATGGATCAGAAGTCCTGTCCCTGAAAGGCCTTGCTACCTAGAAGAAAACAAAAACCATCTAAGTTGCTTGGGAAGGACACCTTCCCCAGGTTCCCAGGTTTTGTGAGCTGTCACCCATGCTGGGGTGGGATTTGGTGACACAGCTGTCTTTGAGTCATTTCTTCTCCTGAAGGTAATTCCTCACCCATAGTGCTGCAATTAATCCAATAAAACTTATCGGCTCACTAAATTTGAATTTGGAAATATCCGTACTTTGGCCTGCTGTCAGTTCCCTGTCTGAGGTGAGTTGATATTTGTTCATATCTTTCTAGGAATAGTGTCACATCCCATAGCCTCCCCCTAAGATAGTCTACACTTTGGGATACTCTCCACATTTCAATGACAGCTTCCCACCTATTACCCACAGCAGTGTTAAGGGAGAGGTTCTCAACCCATGGCATGAACCAGAACCGTCTGCAGGAGCTCGGAAGATGGATCAGAACCGAGCAGGGCTCCTAGGATTTCTGAAGAGTGCATTGATTTTGGGTGTGAAGACTTGCATTTCTCAGAAGTTCTCCAGTGGTACTCCTTCTTAGAGGACTATCCTGTCAAGGCTAAGGTAATGGCTAAGTTGGTAAAGTAACTGCTGTGCAAGCATTAAGGACCTGAGTTCAGATCCTTGGTGCCACATAAAAAGTCAGCTCAGCAGGCACATGTCCATAACCCCAGTTCTGTGGTAGAGCTAGGAGGATCCCTAGAGCTCATTGGCCAGAGAGTCTAGCCTAGTCCAGATTTAGTGAGAGACACTGTCTCAAAAAATAAAGTGGAGAGCATTTGAGAAAGATAACTGACACTGACATTTATCCTTCGTCAGTTCTTTCCATCCTATTGAAATTGTATAAAAAAATAAATAAAATCTCATGATTTTGACATTCTTTATTGACTGAGAAACTGGAAGCAAGAGTTATAAAGCAATCTAAGAAGATTAAGGGAAGGTCTATCTATTTCTGTTACTTCTGCAAAAGCCATTATAATAGCACTAATGTGACTGAGTATTAAAATCACGAGGCACTTGGAATGTAATGTGCCTTCCTAAGGGGTCATGGCACAAACCCCCAACCACATTCAGTGTCTTGGTAAAATGAAACTCAACCAATGAGGTCACCCACCCTTCTCCCAAAAGTCCCACTCCTACATAAGACTCAAAGAAATCCGAGTTCACAAATGAAGGTCATTGGTAGTTCACTGTGTCTCCCAGTTCATGTTCTAGTTATGCCATTCTGCATCAAATCACCAAGTACCATTTAAATATATCTGAAATCAAATATAGCAATGTTCTCTTTATACAGTTCCTTAACATTATCCAAACAGTCCCAAAGCATTTGGGGTTTCCAGCACATCCAAGACCTGTTTCCCTATGCTTCATGTCAGCTAAACCCCAAACCATCCTACATTGCTTCTCTTTTTCTTTTTTCCTTCTTTCTCTCTTTCCTTCCTTTCTCTGTACTTTTTTGTTTGTTGTTGAGTTCGTATGGGTGGTGTGTGTGTGTGTGTGTGTGTGTGTGTGTGTGTGTGTGTGTGTGTGTGTGTTAGGATCTCAAGTAGCCCAGGATGAGCCATTGTGTAGACAAAACTGCAATTCACTACCGGATCCAGCTGCAACTTCTTGAGAGCTGGGATTATAGGTATGCAATGCAATGATTGAAAACCCTTTGACAAAAGATGATGACAGACAGGCTCTTGCATGTTTTTATTCTAAATAGACACACACACACACACACACACACACACACACACATTTTGTTACCTCTTTCCTCTTATCTCTTTAAGGGACTTACTTTGTTCTTTGATTTTATTTTATAGTGACAGAGGTGACAGTCAATAGCCTAAAGTTCATTTTAACGTGGGGCTTTGGATTGTTATATTGTAAATAATTAACAGTGACTATAACAGTCAAATTAGAAAATAGCCATAAAACGATCTCTGTACACCTTGAAATCCACAAAACAATCACTAAGAAGCAATCACCCAGCTGGTTCTCAGGCCGCTTGGATTTCCTGCCCTGAAAGTGAAACACATTTGTGGATATGTGATAATGAGAACATATATCTTTAGAGCTGACACTTACATTCAATTACTAAAGCCAACAGATTTTTCTTTAACCTAGGACAGAGATATTTATAGATTTAGGGGTGGGGGGGCTTGCAGTGGTGGCACATGCCTTTAATTCCAGCACTTGGGAGGCAGAAGCAGGCAGATCTCTAAGTTCAAGGCCAGTCTGGTCTACAGAAGGAGTTCCAGGACAGCCTGGGCTGTATAGACAGACCCTATCTTAAAAGACAAACAAAAAGCCGGGCGGTGGTGGCGCACGCCTTTAATCCCAGCACTCGGGAGGCAAAGGCAGGCGGATCTCTGTGAGTTCGAGGCTGGGCTGGACCGACAGCCTCCAAAACAATACAGAGAAACCCTGTCTTGTAAAAACCAAAAAAAAAAAAAAAAACAACAACAACAACAAACAAACAAAAAGACAAAAAAAAGAAATTAGAAAAAAGAATAAAATATCCCCTCAGTTTTAAAGAGGAAATGTTGATCATAATGATAGAAATGGTTATTGAATAGTTTCTGAGGTCAAAGTGAAAATCCTCAAGATATCTAGCCAGTGCCAATGGTCTAAGTCTTAATTTGGACCCTCCTGATGCAAGCAGAACCTTGCCTGGGAGGAGGTTTAGTGTCTCTGCATCACTAGCCAGCTAGTTGTACCATGCAGATATCCTAATTGGCTGTCTTTGCTAAGCCCCAAACATCTCACTAATCGTCCATGTAATTTTCCCTACGATTTCTTTCATTGAGTCCCTGGCATCACCACTCTTCCCATCACCGACTAACACTTCTGGCTCTGGCTAGCAACCCTTCAGTTGTCCTTTTCATTCTTCCATCACAAGAAACTGTGTGTCTTGCAACTCAGGACAGAAAAGTGCAATCTCCTCCAAGCCAACAAGCTTAGCTACTCAACAGTGAAGCTAGTAGCTAGACAGCATCCTAATTGTAAGTCTCAGAAGGTAAACGCAGGCATCTCACCTCTTTCCTCCATCACGTTTAATCAGTTATACAGACATGACATTAGAAGAAGGGAGGGGCAAACACCTTCTTCCTCTGTTTTGTTATTCTCTATGGAAACTGTTTCTTACACATCCATTTACTATATTAAAAATTTTCCTCCTTCTCTCAAGTGGTTGGCTGCTATGTCACAAAATAGATTTTGCCAAATCCCATGACTCAGTAAGAGTTCCTGCCACAACTCAAATCTAGGTTCTTTAGCTGATAAGGGGAACTGAGGTCCCCTGTTGGATTCTCAGTCTCATTAAGAAAAGAATCTAAGAATGAACTCAAACGGAAGCACAGGACAACTTTATTACAATTTAACAGGAAAATCACGGAGAGACAACCCGTGAAATCTCAGCGGTTGCACCGAGGGCACGGAGGAGGGAAATGCAGGAGAGAAGGACAAAGTCCTGCTATTTGACTGACACGGACTTCAAACACAAGGCTGACAGCCACGTGGCAGGGAGGGAGGCTTCAGAGAAAGAGGAAGGAATCCTAAAATGTTGAGGGAAAGCCCCAAGTGGCATGTGTAGAAGACAAATAGCAAAAGAGAAGTTGTCCTTCCCTAGGTGACTTTGAAAAGTGGGTTGACATAAGGGCCCTTCGTGTCTGCAAGCTTCTGCACTAGGGCTGAGGATTCTGGAAAGGAAAGCACAGCATTCCATTAAAGAACAAATTACTACTTTAACACGACTTAAGGCAAACCCACCTTTCCAGGGGTGGTCCCTGGAAATTGACGCAGGCCAGCTGCAGTGTTGGGTCTCACTCCTGGTCTCCTTATTTCAGGACTGCAAGCTTTTGAAGGACAATAAATGCACTCCTCTCATCAAGGCCCAATGCCTATGGGAAACAGTTTGATCGGCTTCAGCATAAGCAACTGTGGCATTCTGTGCTGAGTTTCTGATATATTTGCTGTAGTGATAGCTGTACTGAGGTGTCATTTACACATTATAAAACCCACCCTTTAAATTCAGTGGTTCAAAGCTTATTCATGCCTGTGAACCATTGCCACAATCATTTTAAGAACATTTTCAGTATCTTAAAACAAAGTCCCGCACCCTAGACAGTCAACAGTGTTTTTTCATCTGTATAATGGGTCTACTCTGAATGTACATACATCCGTTCATGTAAAGAGACTCATGTGACTTGTGGTCATTGCCACTGGCTTCTTTGGGCATAGTA